CTAGAAGCTTGAGTTGAATTTCACTATTGATTTAATTTGTATTAGTTATGTTTAAGCTTGAATGTAATTTAATTTGTATTAGTTTACATTAAATAATATTTTGCTCTTTGCTTGTGTAGTGTTCAAATGTTAAAGATTTGTTTATTTTAATTATTTATTATTAATTAATTCACTTATTTTTAATATACTTCAAATCAACCCAAACTACATTGGGTTGGGTTGGTTTTAATATATGGTTGGTTTGATTCAATCTAAAAATTTGAAACTGATAATAATTGGATTGATTCTGAATTTAATATCAAATCAAATCAAATCATAAACACCCTAATGAAGTGTATATAATAATTTTTTTATTTAGGGATTGTTTGAGGTGCCATAAATAAGTGCATTTTTTATCTTTTTAGACTAAAAAATTAAGGAAAAAAATATGGATATTTGGGTTAACTTTTTGACTTTTTATGGAAAAATGTGTATTAAAAAATTGTATAAATTCGTGTGTAGGAAAAAATTAGGATTGAGAGTTGTGCAGCCGTAATTTTTGATTTTTGATAAATAGTAAAAACTTTTTAACTTTTTGAATATTTTTTTAATTTTTTGACTTTTTTTTAACTTGCCAAATTTTGTCTTAATCAACAAAAGGAAGGGACTTTATTAATGAAACAACATAGACAATAGATGAATATATCAATGAAAGGAGACAAAAACAAAAAGCATTACTTCCTAATCCAACTAAGTAGGTGTTTGGGGGAAATTAAAAAAGTCTATTTTTTTTTAATTTATATATATTTATTTTGGTCACATCAATTTACATCTATCAACATGTTCTCTTAACTTTTCTAGTCATTTTCTTCATTTTTCTACATATTTTTTTTTATTAAAAAAACAAAAAATATACTTATTTAAAACATCTCAAACTACTCTTAATTGGTGTTTTGAAAAGTTGGTAAAAAACTAACTTTTTAAAACTTTTTTGTGTTAAAAAACATAAAGAGATGGTGAGACAAAAAAAAATTAAAAAGTCAAAAAATTAACTTTTTATCATAAAAATATTTTGAAAACATGGTTAAGAGCCATATTTTTAAATTTTTTTTTTGACTTTTTTATATAAGAGAAGTGAATTAAAAGTTAAAAAATGGCTTCTAATCGATTTTTCAAAATATTGGTTTCCAAAACGCCGCTACGTTGGCACGGTTAACAACACCCAATCATCTAATAGAATTCTCCTTTGTACACACAAATTCACACTCTCTCTCCACTCCAAGTCTTGATCTGCGGCAGCAAATTGGATCAAATATCAACATGTCTATGATTTCTTTACATATATAACAGCTTTATTATGTGCTGTGAAAAAGTTGAAACAGAAGGTAACAGTTGTTGTTTCTCTCTCTCTCTCTCTCTCTCTATATATATATATCTTGTCTTTCTGCTCCAGGATGCACTCCACTGTACACTGGAAGGTGTTGAGGTATTATCACTTTGTTATTCTGTTATGGTGTTAAAAATACTGTTACTTTTTGCAAAGTCTTAATGAGCAAATCATAGTATGTAGCTCCCCCACAGTATTCCAGAATCCAATCCTTCCTTTTGCATGCAAAAAGAAAAAAAGTCATGTTAGGCTGCTCAGAAAAATGCTGAGAATTGCTAGCAAATCAAACAAAATTTCTAATCCTTTTGTTTTTCTTTTCTACTTCTATATTTTGTGTGGAGGGGGAACGAAGTGGTTTTTACATGAAAGTTCTTTGTTTGTTCTGTATCTACGTCTATATATATATAATTTTTATTGCTCTATTTTTTGTAGTTTAAAAAGGTGTTTGGATGATCTAAATAAGTAGTAGATTATTTCAAATAGTGCCTAAATCTTATTTAAATTATCCATTTTCTATGTAGCCAAACAGGGTGTGCATGTTGAATTGGGTATGTCTTAAGAAAAAAATATAAGTCAAATCATGTTTGATGGAGTGATAAATTTTTTACCACTTTAGCCAAACCATCCTTATATTTGACAAATTGATTGAGTATTTTTGCAAGCTCCTACATGGTCTCTGTCTCTACTATTCTAAAATATTTATACACAAGGATTGGATTACATATCAGCTTGTGGTTTGAATTTTTAGGATTCATTTTTTAGAAAATTAAATTTTTTTATTTTTCGTATTTTTTTATTTTTCTGATTTTTTTTAATATTCTAAGTAATTTTTAATACACCTAATATAAATGCACCTAAAAAGCATAATATTTGTAAAAAAAAAAAAAAAAAAAAACTTTACAAAATTCACAAAATATCAAAAATATATGAGAATTCAATACATTTTTTGTATTCTTGTGTATTTATTTCTTTTAAATATTTTTTTATAGATATTTTACTTTTTAAATACATCTAAGTAATGTGCATTTAAAAAAGTAAAAAAAATTACTTAAAATTTAAAAAATATTCACTAAAAATAAAAAAAAATAAAAAATCAATTTTCAAAAAATTAAATCCAGAAAATTAAAATTAAACACACTGAATAAAATCTTAAAGTTTAAGAATTCTTAGACATAATAATATTCAATTATTATGGTGATTGTTTTGGCCAATGGTCATTTCAATTTTCAGCGAAAATTCAAACTATGTTGATGTGGCTTGCTGTTGGTGGACAAGGGAACTGACAAAGTAAAAGCAATTTTCTTGCCATTATTCCAGGTGAGTAAAGTTGCAGTTAATTTCTTGCAACTCTATAATTTATTTTCTTCATGGATTTTGTTTTTTTATTTTTAAATTACCTTGCACATTTAACTTGTACCAAAGCATACAGAAGTTGTCAATGTTAACTCTCATTAATTACTATCCCTTAATATGTTAGTTGCTGTTATTGTAGGGAGAAATTTCCTTTAATGAAAGTTTTTAAGCTTAAATATTGGATGTACCGTAATCGTATCAATGTTCAATGAGTGTTCTGATTTATGATAATGACCATAATATTGTTGAATTAGTGGGAGGCAAAAGTAAACTACTTAACACATTTGAAACTTTTTATCAATCAATAACATTATGTAAGATAATATCACTGTTACATTCAATATATATTTTCTTGGTGTGGTAGCTTGGTTTGAATCAGAGACGGTGATAAATAAAATATCGTGTTAGTTGCTAGGTGTTTTTCTTAGTTTGATGATGAAAATAAGACTTGCTCAAAGAATTGACTATTTTAGTGGTGTTTTATTTTTTAATTTTTTACAAAAAAAAAATATGTGAAAAAACAAAGGAAAGATTAGCTTTTTTGTAATAATTTTTTAGATATTTGACTATTTTAGTCTATTGCCAAAACAGTCCTGGATATTAAAATAATGTTTTTTAAATTTTAAACTCCTTTTTGACACCAAAAACAAAAAAAAAAGTAATTATATAATGCATGATGAATGAAGAGCAAACATTTTCATCTATATCTTGTTTAGGAGCAGAAATTAGAATGAGATTTTAGATTAAACTTGTTTACGTAAAAATTGTTTATATATATATATAATAAACCGAAGTGGATTAGAAGTTGAAAAAATTATGTCAGTGGTTATTTTATAAATAATTACACATTCATAACAAAATATAATTTTAATTATTAATATTTATAAAATTTATTATTTATTTGAAATTATTTTTACAAAATTACATTGAAGTGTAATTCCCCCCTTTTAAGTTTGACTGATATCATTAGGTGTCAAGGGATGGGATAGGAAGCTGTCACGGAAGTAGCAAATCCTGGTCAAAGTTTAATACAAGTGGTCTGAATAATATTGTGCTTGTATAAGAGGGAACTATCTAATTTAGATAATAACATGGTATTATGGGTGTTTTGAAAAATTAGTTAAAAATTAATTTTTTGAATTTTTTTTTTTTTTGCTTTTTAGTGGGTAAAAAATATGAGAGGTGATGTGATCAAAAAAAAATTAAAAACTAAGAGTTGGCTTTTAACCAACTTCCCAAATAAACCCTATCTATGTGGTTTCTAATAGAAAAAGTGCAAGGGTAATGGATGTTATTATTAGGAAAATACAAAGCAATTCTAAGAATTCGTTTGGGAAGTAAGTTAATTTTTTGATTATTTTAACTTGAGACTAAAAAGTCTCGTTTAGAAAGGACTTTTTGACTTTTTGTAAAAAAAAGAATGTAATGATTATGGATTAGATGCAATATTTTGTCTTATTAGGCTAAAAAACTTGTTTTGCCTTTTTGTGATTAAAATAGTTTCAAACCCAACCCAACCTATCTTCCCAAACAAAGGCTAAATATTCTTTTTCGCATTGAAAAATATTAAAATATGTAAAAATAATTTAAAATGTATTAAAATTATATTTTGACAAATTGAGATGCTTTTTAACTAAGACTGTCATTAAGAGAACCCCTATTATTATAAATTATGTGCATTTCTAATTGGACAAGAATCCTAGCACTTGTATATAAGGCGTACGCCCAAAGTTGATGTTTGAGTTTTTAGTTATCAATAGTATGAAGTGTGTATGTGAATTTTATTGTTCTTTTCAGTAGTTGGTTTTATAAATGGAATGCCTTCCGATAAACATGTATTGGGGGAGAAGTAGTTAAAGTTGAAATAAAGTCTCGTATAAATTGATCTTAAGAAATTATTTATATTTAGAAGATTTTGAACTCAAAATCTTAGAGTGAGCACACACTCACACCTACAGGGTAATGGTTGCTCACATAACATTTGTGCAATGGTAAATGACAAGAATTACCTTGTCAGAGTAGAGATATTGTGATTATTTAACCTTAGGAGATGATACGTAATGTGTAACCTTTGCCTTACTTGTTGGGCATAAAAAATGTGGTTTGACTAAAATGCATATTAAATACAATATAAAAAGCCTATTAAAAATTCTTTTACTTTCATTATTAATTGTATAAGGAAATGGAGGTTGCGATCATTTAATGACAAAATTAATAGATTAAGAAACAAACTGAATATTTTAAATATTATGAATTAAAATGACACAGCACGCAAAAGAAACAAAAACAAAGGATAATATATATTCTTTTAACTAAAATGCAAACTGATCTAGTTATATATACATGGACAAAGCAAGATACTACTGCGAGTTCTTGGTATTAAAAAAACATGATGAAACTATATACACAAGATGAATCCTGTTTATTTGGTAGAAGATAGCAGCATATATGAAACAATATTTACTTACACAGGCAGTAAAAACTTGAATCTTCATATCTGAAGAATCTGCAAAATGACTCCTGACTCACACACAAGGTCTTTTACATTCCCAGTGGACTATGAATATGATACCTGTAAAATTTAAATAATCAAACATGAAAGGTTAAGATAGGATGACTAAAATTTGGTAAAGTCCCCCTATAAATCTCCCTAATGAACTCTCAGCTCTAAAGATAGAATATACACAGGTGTATTATTTTGTAGATGCAGACACACAAGTAATTATATAATGCATGATGAATGAAGAGCAAACATTTTCATCTATATCTTGTTTAGGAGCAGAAATTAGAATGAGATTTTAGATTAAACTTGTTTACGTAAAAATTGTTTATAAAATAAGATTATTTAAGGATTTCAACAAGGTTCTCTCCCGAGCCAGCGGTGCAGTAGTAAGAACTTGATGTGCAACTCATGACGTCGGGATTTCCAATCCCAACTCCCCCTCTCCCCCTAGGTAATATGATAATTGTTGTTAAAAAAAAAAAAGAGCATACAAATATATCCATGGAAGAATGCAAATTAGGTAAGCTCTAAGGTAAGCAAACAGTTGGCACACACAAAAAACAAAAATTATAAAGTTCTATTATATCCATGATCATAATTGATAGGGTGGGTTTTACCTATCTACCTATATTCTCCTGAGGCTTCTATTTTTTGTTTTTTAGTGCTCTGAAATGTAGCGTCTATTGAGGGACAGAAATTTTCTGGTTATCTTTTCAACTTCTAAAATCTCCCTACTACCCTCGTGAAATTATTTAAGGTTTCATTCGGTTGCATGCATATTCATAGTGTTTCGTGTTGCAAAATACATGTTTAATGAGCTAGCTATCACCAATCATATTAGTGTAGCTCTTAATTTTATTAATTTGAATATGTAATTTTGTTGTAAATTGAACTATAAATATTTCCGAATGGAAACAGAAAGATACTTATCTGTTCATGGACAAACACTTCTGCAATGAATGCTTTCAAGACATATAGATAGATAGATATGTTCTTCATTTCATTATCCTAGATAACAAATTGTCATGGCAGGCTCTTAGATAGTAGGATTTCATTATCCTAGATTTCTATCACTGTCATAAATTTTTTAAAAGGTTTGCTATATTTAGGAAATGAATTATTCTGGACTCTTTTATAGCATCTCAACCATGTGGTTTGCTTTGAAGTTACTCTCCTAGACAAACTGAAATTGTTTAATTTCAGACTTCGCGAGGTAAAAAATTTTTCAATTTGAAATCCATTACTATTAAGAAGTAATCTATTTCCATGGATTTTAATATGTAGTTGTTAAATTCTGTACAAACATGGTAATTGAATTGGGACAAAAGTCACTTACTTGCAAACTTTAGATTCAAAGCATACAGTGTTACAAACCAACACAAGAATTGGTGTGTTTCTGATAGCTACTGGCTGCTTAGAGGCAATAGCAGCGAAAAAAACAAGAGAAAAGAAAATAGATAATATTAAGTGAAAACCCTGATGTATCTAGATAAATAGAAATAATTAACATTTTCCTCAAAATTCCAACTGGAGATACTTATAGATTGTAGACACTTAAATATTCACCCATTTGCTGTTTGAAAATTATGAAATTTCAATACAATTATATTATACACCACTTTAGCATTGATTGTGGTTGTTGCAGTCCTTCCAAGATTTGCTACATATTTGAAATTCTGCTAGATTAAAACTGAAATTAATAACCAAATTCATTCAGAAAATTGAAGTTAGGTCTTTGTCCTTGAAAACAATAGCTGGCAATAAATTAATGTTGGTCTTAGTCATAGAGCACAAGGGCTAGCTTGAGTGTATGATAGTTGCCAACATTAATGTCCCAATTTTTAGGGTTATTTTGGAAAACTTACATCTTTTTGTCCATTGAAAACTGAAGATGGCTTCACAACAGAATCCTCAGTTAAGCCGCTTCGCAACACCATATGATTGTTGGAATCCATTCCCTTATAAGCTTCAATTTGACTCAAGCAAGTAGATCGGTTCAAGATCGGAGGGCTTGAATCGTTGACAACTTCTTTCGGATCATTAAGCCTTCTTGTGCACATCTTTTCTCTTGTTCTTTCCCTTGCTCTCGCTCTAGCCATTGCCCTAGACTCCCTCGAAAGGAGATGAAATGCCGCTCTGTGTTGCTGTTGTTGGACCTTTTTGTCCTTTTCAACATTCATCAATGGCTTTATCTTAGAAACTGTATCCTTTATGCCTCCATTGTCATCAGAATTTTCATTGGTTCCTCCTGATACTTGTTCACATTCAGAAGTAGGAGAAGGCATTAACAGACTGTGTTTCTTCTGCATTAGCTTTACCTCATTAATTGCTGTTTTAGACTTTGTAAGCAACCAATCTAGGGCTTTGCTTGGTTTGTCAAACCCTAGCATGTCTTGAAGACCAAAGAACTTACTAGCAATATCAATGGAAAGCCTCACTCTCCGATCCCTCAGGCCTCGAGCGGTACGAATCTTGCTGTGCCGGTCTTTCTTCCCAGCTCTCTTCCTAGGAAGCACATTCTGAGGAGGAAAAGAACTACAATGGTGTACAGTGGTTTCTTGTTTTGAAGCTGCTATGGTGGAACTGGAGATTGTATCAATGACTGGAAAATTGTCCCAAAGCCAGTCACCCAAGAGCGGATCGGGGTGGTGGTGGTGGTGGTGTAAGAGGAAAATGTCAGGTCCATCGTGGCCGACAAAGTGTGGAGGAGAGAGGTGGTGGTGGAAAGATGGAGGAAAAGGATTGGTACAACTGTTGTTTGAAGAGAACATTTGTGGTTTAGCAAGTTAATTGACATAGACAAACCCTAGATTCCAAAAGGAAATTACTGGGAACTTAATATGCTGTGTTGAAAGACCTTTACAGTTTTTAGATTAAACTATGAGAAGTGATTCAGAGCTCTATTATTAGAGTTCTGACCAAAATATCACATTAGATAGTGACGTTAGATAATAAGATCTACAGTTTAGAACTCTTTTCGAACTCACAATTTAGTGGTTTCAATCATTTTACTTAAACTATTTGATAGCAAGGTTTAAAATAAAAGATTGAGAAAGACATATGTGCTTGATTAATCAGAAGGCAATAACTGGTGGGTGGATGCAAATCATGTTCTTTCCTTATCTTGGTAAAGCTTGAGAGAGACAGCCCTAGCTTTATGTCCTCACACAGAGAGAGGATTAATTTGATTGATCAGAGACACTATCTATATATCTGGTATTAATTGGAGACAAAAAGTGCTCCGTTTTCTTTTCATATATCTAAAACAAAGTTGCTCCCTCACAAATCTTAAATTAGAATTCTCTTGTCAGCAGACGCATATGTTGAAGTCACGAATCACAAGACATAAATGCTATTTCAAAAGTCTTATTCAAACGGTATACGCATAACATTGCCTAATATACCTTACATAAAATACATGTAAAGATATATATATATATCCAAAAAAACTGCTTGGTTTTCTTGAAGAAAATCTTTAGGGCAAAAGTTAGCTTACAGTACTATTGGAGAGGGGAAGCAGTGACTGGGTGTGAATCGAAACACTTGTACCACTCTTCACATGGGAGGGCCAGAAAAGTGATTGATGGCTACCCTTCCTACCTTCGAAAAAATTGATAAATTTATATTTCTATAATATGAAACGAAAGAATATCAAAATTCTGAAAGAATGTTTTAAAATTACTCCCAAACAAATCGTATAGTATAAATTTAAAAATTTATCCCACAATAAATTAGATGATATTGAATTTCAGATAAGATTTCATTCAGGCCTCGTTTGGAAACAGGCTAATTTAGTAATTTTTTGATTATTTGGTTAAAAAAGTAGGTAAAAAAAACTTATATGTTTGAGATAACTTTTTAGTTAATTACGAAAAGATGTGCAAAAAGTAGAGAGAAAAGAGAATCTTTGACTTTTTAGTATGAATTGTTGACTTTTTGACTAAAAAAATAACTTTTTGACTTTTTTACTAAAAAGATAAATCCCCAAACAGGGCCTCACTGGTGAACAAAACACTTCCTATGTTTGATTAAAATAGTCGAGTGCTCTCAATTAAATTGAATTCATTACTTAATTTTAAATGAGATTTATTATACTATTTTAATTGATTAAAATATAAAATAAAATCATGTACTCACAAAAAAAATATAAGAGTTTTTTCAATAAATTCCCTTTCTAAGAGTCTTATTCTATCGAACCCATATTCTTTTTTACTATTTCATTAGGTCATATTTGAGGTAAAAAGACCAAAATACCCTAAATCTCTCTTGTCCCTATTAATATTGATATTTAATGTTGATTGTCATTATATTTTCGCTCCAAAAAAATACATTAACTATACATCACTATTTAATGTTAATATATATATATATATATATATATATATATATATATATATATATATTACACACAAAAAATTAAAAATGGTTCTTTATTTGATTGTCATTGGTAGTTCCATGCATCATTGATTGTCAATATGTTTTGACAGTTTCCATACATTCAAATGTTGACTGCACGTGATGACGTGAATGTGAATGTTCATATCAGATGACGTCATGATGAAGGTGATTTAAGGTTCATATCAGCACTGCATCAAATTACACAATCACAAGCATCAACTTTCATTTGAATATAAACATGACGTGAATGTTCACACTAAAACATATGAATGTAAATGTTTACATGAATTCTGGAATGTAGATATTAACATTATGAACATTAACATTTGTATTTACATTCATATATTTAAGTGTGAACATTCACGTCATCTGATATTAACATTATGAATATTAACATTTGTATTAACATTCATGTGTTTTAATGTAAATATTTATGTCATCTGATGTGAATATTTACAGTCAACATTTGAACGTATGGTTGCTGTATACTAGGTGTATTCATCATCAGAGGACAATGTGCTCCTATCTTCAGAGCGGTGTTGATGGGAGCTTTTGGTTTTTGTGCAAAGTTGTCTTCGGGGCTGCATAGTCTTGGTTTTATTTGATTCGTTCTATAGTTTTTTTTCTGCTCTTTTTGTCGGTTTAGTCTTGTTTTTCTTGCTTTTCTCTGTTTGGTGGTTTCTCACCAACTAGGAGCTTGGAGCTTGTTCTAGCTCCAAGATCTTCTTTATTGATGTCTTCCTTTGTTCTTTCTACGTGCTTTATCAATAAAGTTTTCTTTGCCGATCAAAAAAAAAAAAAAATTGAATACATGGAAACTATCAAAGCATAATGACAATCAATAAAGAATCATGTTCAATTTTTTGTGTGTAATGTATATCAATATTAAATAGTGGTGTATAGTTAATGCATATCAACATTAAATATAGGGGTACAAAAGTCTAAGAAAATAATGTAAATAAAAAAAATGATCCTATGGAATAAAAGTATAAATCATGGGACTAAGTGGGTTATAATTTCCTTCATGGACTTCTTAAGTTAGAACACTTCTAAATAGGATTTATCAATAAAAATCCCAAAAACTATTTAGAAAGCATTTAGTAGTAAAATTTTGCAAATTAAATTCATTATGAGCATACACAGCACCAAATTTAAATTGACAATACAAATTTAATGAGTGCTTTTGGTTTAGTTTTAAACTTATAATTTGAGTGTGGAGTTGTAATTTAAATGTAGAGTTGTGAGTTGAGTTTTGAAAAGAGAAAATTTGGTTGCGTTTGGTGTGCAACTCTAATCAATTTTTCACCCTCAGATTTGAATGCTATGTTTAGTAGAGGTTTTCAAATCAATTCCAAAACACATTTTGAAAACATGTTTGGTAAGTTGAGAAGTTTTTGAAATTTTGGTCTACCCGGTTGTCCGCCAGGGCATCCTCTCGAATGTCCGGAATAGTACTTTTTTATTTTTTGTAATTGCCAAAAAAAATTATGTTTAGTTTTGATATTTTTTAAATATAGAAATTATTTTTTTAGACCAAAATGACAAATTATTTTTTTGAATTGAATTTTAAAAAGAGTTTGTTTATGAGTTTTGAATAGAATTTTCAATACATTTTGAGTTGTGTGTTTGGTTTAGGTTTTGAAAACTCTTTTCAAAACTCATAATCAAACAACTTTTCTCATTTCATATATCACATAAAAAATTCAAAACTCATGACTAAACAAATTTTCTCCTTTTAAATCATAATTTCAGAACTCACAAACTCACAATACAACTCTATTATCAAATCATAATTCTTAAACTCTACCAAACACTACCTTTGTTTGGTTATAAGTTTTGAGAAGAGTTTTGAATTTTGAAAAGAGTTTTGAGTTGAATTTTGAGTTTTAAGAAAAAATTATTTTTTATTTTAAATATATAATTGTTATTTAAATATTTTTTAATTTTAATATTTTATTTTAATATCTAAATATTTTAAATTCAAAATACAACTCCACACTCAAATCATAACTAAACACATAACTCAAAACTCAATTCAAAAACTATTTTTAAAAGCTCCCTCTAGTTCGATCACAGATTGGAGGGTATTGTTGGGCCCATGGAGGCTCACCATGGGTCCCGTTTCAATAATTTGAACCGTTCAATCTGTAAAACTTGTCGAGTATTATATGTTTATAAAAAATTACGTTCATCAGTTATCAGTAGTTACGTGATCAAATCAATTTTGTAAAAAAAAAAATGGACGCTGAAAAAATAAACAGTTAATAGAAATCTGATCCGATGAGATAGCTATCAATATTTGTTCAATGTAATTTTTTATAGACATATAGTACACAACGAGTTCTACACATTAAACGGCTCGAATTATTGAAACGAAACCCCTGGTAGGCCCTCAAAAGCCCAACAGTACCTTCCAGTCCAATCAAGGACTTGAGAGAAGCCCAGCCCTTTTTAAAATTCATAACCGAATATATAACTTAAAACTCAAAACCAAACTCTTTTCAAAACTCTATTAAAAAAATTCCAAAAAATATTTTTCATTTTTGTCTTTAAAATTATTATTTTTTTATTTTTTTTCCAAAACATATTTTGTTTATTTTTTTTGAAGAAAAATATTTTCTTATTTTTCAAAAAATAATTTTTGTTATTTTTTTAAGTATTGGCAAAATAATTTGTTATGATTTAGATATATATGGTGATCCAATTTTTTTAAAAAAAATTTTAAAAAATAAATATTTAAAAAAGAGTTTAAAAATTTAAAAATTAAAATATTTAAAAATATATTATCAAATAAAAAAATAAAAGATAAAATTTTCTTAAACATTTTATTTCAAAATACAACTCAAAACTTAAAATATAACTCAAAATTCTTTTCAAAACTTATAACCAAATTTTTTTTCTCTTTTCAAAACTCAACTCTAATCTCATAACTCAAAATATGATTCTATACTCAAATCATGATTCTAAAAATAATTTTAATAATCAAAATAAAAAAATATTTTTTCAATTTTTTTTTAAAAAGAGTTTGGTTTTGAGTTTTGAGAAGAATTTTGAATTCATAAGTTTTGAGTTGTGTGTTTAGTTATGAATTTTGAAAATAATTTTTAAATTGAATTTTAAGTAGTTTTGAATTGTATGTTTAATTATGAATTTTGAAAAGAGTTTTGAAATTTTTTTATTGGAATCACAATTCCAAACTAAACCAAATGCAAGCATTTATAGATATATATATCATTACAATATGACATATACAAACATGAGTAGTGCTATACAAATAAAATTTTTAAAAAAAATTATTTAAAAAATAATACAAAGTTATTTTGATGAATTTTTTTCAACAATGTTACATCCTCTAATTTATCACCCTTAATGATTTGGCATTGAGGTTAGATATCTCATCATGCAATGTTCGACAAATCAAAATTCGACATTTATCAAACACATCACTAAGGGTTATGTTTAGAATAAACTACTAATAGGTCATAATAATTGTACTTAATTCACATCAAGTCTTATTGAAAATAAGTCATAGTAAAATCATCGATAAAAATAATTTTTTGTGACCATTTTTTGCATGACACAAAAAATTGATAATCAGTTACTTTTTGTAACAATTTTTATAAACTGTTGCTAAAACTTACAATTAATGATTTTTTCTGTAATGCATTTCTCAAACTATCATTGAAAGTTAATAATTAATGACATTTTTTATGGCAAATTTCAAATTGTCTATGAAAATTAACAATTAGTG